TTTTCTAAGTTTTCTAATTCTGTTTTTAGATTTTCATTCTCATTCTCAAGTTATTTTAACCTATTTTCTAGCCATCTATTTTCACCTTTAAACCTATTATTAGAAGAATACATTAATCTTTTAACTTCATCATGCATTTCATTAAAAGCATCTAGCAATTGATAATAGTTATTTTTATCATTAGATGCAGTAGTACTTACACTGAATTTGCTTGATGTCTCTGTATTCATGATTAAGCAAAGATTTGCTTCTTCATTTAAGTTTCTGCTTGACTCACTGGAAGTGCTTGAGGCATTGTCTTCCCAAGCAATGTATGTCTTCTTCTTTTTCGAATTCTTGGTTTCCTTTCTTTCTTCTAGTTTCTGCTTCATCTTGAAGATTGCACAATCTTGCTTGATGTGTCCAGAATTTTCACATTCATAGCATGTAGGAACATGTCCTTGTTCTTGTTTCTTAAAAGGTTTGACAACATATTTGTTAGCATATTTATTTTTATATTTCAAAAATTTAGAAATTTTTTTTACCAGTAGATTCAAGTTTTTGTTGTCAGAATCCTCTTTTTCATTTCCTTGCATGAGATCACTTATTTTTGCAGTAGTTTTCAATGCAACAATGTTTCTTCTTTCAATTTCTTCTTCTTCTTTGAGTCTTTCTAGTTCCAACTCATGCTCCCTTAATTTTCGAAACAATGTATCCATATTTATCATTGTGAGATCTCTTGATTCTGAAATAGTAGTTTCCTTAGGTTGCCAACTTCTTCCTAAACTCTTTAGAATCTTGATATTCAGTTCTTCTTTGTCAAAGATCTTCCTAAGAGTCATCAAATGATTTACAATACAAGTAAATATTTTTTGAACATCATAGATGTTTTCTCCAGTCTTCATTCTGAACATTTCATATTCTTGAATGAGAGTATTCTTTCTTACTCTCTTTACCTCTTCAGTTCCTTCATGGGTGACTTCAAGAACACTCCACATTTATTTGGTTGTCTCACACACAGAGATTCTATAAAATTCGTCAAGTGTTAGTGAAGAAGAAATAATATTCCTAGCTCTAACATCATAGTGAACTCTTTTATTCTCATCAGGAGTCCATTCATTAAAATCTTTGATAATTGTTATATCATCTTTAACCTTGGTTGATTGAAAAGTACCATTAACAATAACATCCCAAATACCTTTATCAACAAATTCAAGAAAAATCTTCATTCTTATTTTTCACAATGGATAATTTTCACTAGAAACACAAAGTAGGTCTGTTTATAGATGCCCCTTCAACAAAAGTTTGGGAAATGTTAGTCATTCTTTTTGGATCAAAATCAATTGAATTTTGATAACCCAGCTTTGAAGCCAATTGTTAATAAAATGTTAATGACAGAACTTTCCCAAGAGGGGGTGTAAACCCCTAATCTTGCCCGACCTCGCAATAAAGTTCAGAAATCCTCCATTTCGAAGATGGACAAGGCTTCATTAGGCCCCTAGTAGTGTTTTCTAGGCTCCATTTAAGAATATGACTGTTTTCTTAGAAAATAAAAATTAGGATTTTTGTTAGAAGGCTAGGATGGCCGTCATAGATTCCTGACGACCGTCCCAACCCCCTTGGTGGCCTGGGACGGTCGTCTCACCCCTTTTCATAGCCTGGGACGGCCGTCCCGACTCCTGAATCTGCGATCTTATAAATAGGAGTTCATTTTTCCCATTTCCAGACACCTTTTTGGAGAGTGCTCTCTTCTCTCTCCTACTCTAAAACTTTTTCAGGCATTTTTTGCTTTGTTTCAGAATCCGAGTAGTCTTTCCAATTATCCTTTTTGGATTAAATCGGTTAAGGAAGTATCTTTTTGAGACATCCGACGCTTGGTAGTATAATAATTTTATTGTTCCTGGTAGGAGTGCTCTTGTAGAAGGAGGGGACTGCCAAAAATCGTCTTCAAGTTTTGAGATATATAAAAAGCTCGCTTCGGAGGTTCCTTTTCTATTCCTTCTCTTTTATCGCTTTCTTTTGTGTGCACTAGAAGTTAGGGCCATGTAGATATTTAATTACTGCAAGTAGAAACATAATTTCTGTATCTTTATTTTAGAATTATTCCATCATAGGGAACCTGAAAGGGGCGTTGTGAGGTACTAATACCTTCCCCAAACGTAACTAACTCCCTTACCCAACTTTAATTATAATGGCCAAAGTTGGTTTTTTTCTAAAACCAACTCCTTCTTTTTTATCCTTTCCCAATATTTATGGTTAAAACATTGGTGACAACTCCTTAAGAACCCCTTTTTACGAAAATCCCATTCTTAAGGATAGTTCGATTATCGAACATCCTAAGAGTGATGACCATATTTTTTAAAAACGCGAGTCACAAACCATCGCGTCGCAACCGACCGCTTTCTCTTGGTTCCCTTCCCTTCTTCCGGGAAGGGACGGCGGCGACAGGGGGGTGAATTGGGTTTTCAAAAATCTTTTGAATTTCTAATCAATTATTTAAAGAACTTTTCCTAATAATCAATTATGAAAGAATTATCACAGTTTATAGAAAACAAGTATACCAAGATGGAGAGAAGAAGAAAAGACACACAAATTTATACTGGTTCGATTCTTCTTAAATCTACATCCAGTTTTAACCAAATAACCTTAGCCTGAAGTTTTTCACTTAATAGCCGATTTACAATCTAATCAACTGATCTTGATTTTACACCACTCTATAATCAATACCACAATTCTTGAAAATGCTTTACCTCACAATTTTCAAGTTAAGCAGATGTAGCTAGCCTCACATACATCAAAACTTAAAAACAAGATACAAAAGAAAGAGATGAAACGAATTCATCTTGGATTTACAGACAACCTTTCTTTCAAATTGATCTTCAAAATCTTTTGCATAATTATGTTATTTCCTTGATGTCCAAAATGTTCTTTCTAATTGCTTTTGTATTTGACAATTGATATTGATTAAAGAAAATTTGCATCCTTTTATAAAAAGAAAACTATTGTAACTGTCACAGATAATCGATTAGCATATTTATCTAATCGATTATTTGAGTGCAGTGATAGTTTAAAAATAGTCAAATAATCGATTAGGTGCTTACATAATCGATTATTAGCGCGTTGTGTTAAAACAAAATTTTTGACAAATAATTGATTAAGTAACTACATAATCATTTTTTAACACGTCTTATGAAAACTTAATTTTAAGTCATGTAATCGATTAACCTTTTATCTAATTGATTATTAGCACTTCGATTTTAACATAATTGATTATTTTTACTTTCAAAGTTTAGATTATTTTGACTTTATAAAAATTAACTATCCTAACTACCTTGACATCATAAAAAAGAGATTTTCTATTTTATCTTTCCTCTTTATCAATAATCTTGAAATAGGACAATATTAATTAATTAAAGTATGTTAAAATCACACTACTATTAACTGTTTATAGAAAAAAATGAAAAGTCATTATTATTTTTTTCTTACAAACCTATAAAACATATAGAAAAAAAATACAAGATAAGAAAGAAAATAAAAATTATATTGCTTATTTTACATATATATATATATATATATATATATATATATATATAAGTAATTAATACTTTTTATTTTATTAATTTATTTAAGTTTTCTTTTAATCATTTGTTATTTTACATTTCTCAAGAAATTACAGTTTTAATATGGTTTGATATTAAAAAATGATTTTTTATGTCAACGGCATTAAATATTCTGATTTAACATTTAGCACCACCATGCATTGATTTTCAGTTTCTGTTTTTACGTACGCACTGTCATAGTCCTTCGCAGGTTTATCGGTAGTTGACATGTAACGAGTCTCTCTGTCCGCATTTACTTGGTTACATGAGAAAGCCACACCCCTAATAATGGTTTTGATTCCGTATTCACAGCCACACGTGTGTTCAAATCACGAATTGTTTTGTTAGGGCCAAAGAAAAAAAAAATGGTTTTGTAGTGCAGTACAACAATTAAAGTTTTTCCTTTTCCATGTTTTCTTATTTTACACTTTGTAGTACCGCACATTTCAGCTTTGTATTGCACTAGTACAATGAAAGTTGGTGAAGTGTCAAATGAGATACAATGTACTTCTTTTTCTTTTTATCCTTTCTTTAGCAATGGGATAAATATAGAAATCTTTGTTCGTGCAGTCTCTTTGAGGTTGATTCTGACAAGATTATCGAAGCCTCAGGAGGGTTTGTGAGGTTCTCATCTCTTTACTTATCACTTTGTTGTCACTCAAACCTGCACGCGCAGCGAAATCCGTTGTTTGTAGATTCTTTACAGCATTTAGAGGTTTTGGATTCTTCAATTGTTGGAGGGTGATGCATCACCCTTTTGTCTTTTCTGAAGCATTGGGGGATTGAATTCTTGCTCCGACATTGCTTTCAATTTGCATCACCCTTTCATTTAAATTCCATTCTTCTGTCCTCCAAAAGAAAAAGTTGAGGTATGATATTTGATTTAGCTTATTTTTGAAAAAGTAATTGTCTTTTATTTCAATTAGATATTTGAGGGGTTTTTTTTTAAGTTTATCTATTTCCAGGCATGTGTGTATATACATTTATGGTACAAAAGGATGAATTTTTTTTATCATTTTTTATGTTTTCTATCACTTTATTTCATGTAATGAAGTGGGTGACTCGAATCTACTACGCCTACAAATTATAACTTGTTCCCCATTTTGGATTAGAACTTCTCTGTTTACAATTTGGATACTTCTTACAACAGAGATGCCAAATAAGAAAATAACTTTTTCTCATTCTTTTGTTTTCTGTGACTTCAGATTTTATAATGAAGTATTAGTTATCCTTGAGTCAAATCTACATTTACAACTGTTACTTGTTATCCAGCTTGGATTACAAGTTCTCTCTTTGAAATTTGGATTCTTTTTAAACTAGGGATGCCAAGTGAGATGTAGCAATGGTGGTGGGGACTTGAATGCAATTTTTCCTTTCTAACAGTGTCACTTCTTCATTGTATTTTTTTGGAAGATTGGTTTAATGGGCACTTCAGACCATGAAGAACTAGAAGAGATTCAGAATTGTGACAATGATGACATTGAAAAAGCTGAACTTGAAGAGCCAGAGGAGCAGATTAGCATTGCATCATGGACAAGCCAGATCACAATTCGAGGACTACTAACTAGCTTCCTCATTGGTATCATTTATAGTATGATTGTGATGAAGCTGAATCTCTCAACCGGGCTTGTTCCAAATCTGAATGTTTCAGCGGCTCTCCTTGGCTTTGTGCTTGTTCGAACTTGGACTATGCTGCTTGAGAAAGCTAATGTTGTTACAACACCTTTCACTAAACAGGAGAATACCATAATTCAAACTTGTGCTGTTGCATGCTACAGCACTTCTTATGGAGGTTGAAATTCTCTGACAATTTAAATTCAACTCCATATTTTTTTGTGTACAGAATAACTGAGAGTGTTCGTTCGTGTGGTTTTTTAACTTTTACTTGGTTATTTTCAGGTGGTTTTGGGTCTTATCTCTTGGGTTTGAATAGGAAGACGTATGAGCAAGTAGGGGTTGATACACAGGGGAATACTCCTAACACCAAGGAGCCTGGAATTGGGTGGATGACAGCTTTTCTCTTTGTGACATACTTTGTTGGGCTATCGGTATTGGTTCCCCTTAGGAAGGTATTTCTTATAAGGAGTAGCCTTCAATGTTTTTCACTTGATTAATTGAACATATCTGGTTGTCTAAAGGTTGTTATTCTCATTGTAGATGTGATGAATTTGATTAGTATTAGCTTGAAATGTGTTGCTTCGTGATCTGATCCAATGTATGCTATTTAACAGATGATGATCATAGACTACAAACTGACTTATCCAAGTGGAACTGCTACAGCTGTCCTTATTAATGGGTTCCACAGTCCTAAAGGAGATAAGATGGCAAAGTATGAACAGGCTTTTATTTTGCATTATTTGTCTATTTCAAGTTAAACATGGTAAATCCGTATACATGTAAAATTAATTTAAATGTTTCACAGGAAGCAGGTCCATGGTTTTATGAAATTCTTCTCATTCAGTTTCCTTTGGTCATTCTTCCAATGGTTCTATGCTGGTGGAGAGCAATGTGGATTCGTTCAGTTTCCCACTTTTGGATTGAAAGCATGGAAAAACTCGTGTGTGCTTTGCTTGCATCTTTCTTCTACAAGTGTGAACCATGAAAATAATTGCCCCTCATCATTAAAATGTGTGAATTTTGCAGATTTTACTTTGACTTCAGCATGACTTATGTTGGAGCAGGAATGATTTGTTCCCATATTGTCAACTTATCCTTGCTTCTTGGTGCTGTTCTCTCTTGGGGCATTATGTGGCCATTGATCAGGGGATTAAAAGGACAATGGTTCCCTGAGAGTTTACCAGAAAGTAGTATGAAGAGTCTTAATGGTTATAAGGTCTGAAACGAACTACAATAGGGGACTCTCGAAGCTAATTTGATTTCAGTTCTTCCTTTTCAAGCCTCAAGTAATCTTCCCCTGTTTTCTTGATGCAGGTTTTTATTTCCATTGCCTTAATCCTTGGTGATGGGTTGTACAATTCTGCAAAAATTTTGCTTTTTACTGCCACAAATATCCAAGCCAGCATGGAGAAGAGGAACCAGAAATCACGTAAATAACATGCCTCGTATCAAATTTCCAGTTTTTGGGTTATTATTCTCTAGTTTATTGTTCGATGTTAGACCTCAGACAACTACTACTTTGAGGACAATGTGAGAAAGAGGCAGATAGGAAATTCTCACTATGAAGGCTGTAGTCTGTCACAACAGGGGTAAATCATGGGAAAAGGAGGGAATTGATAAACAATAAAAGGGGAGGGAAGGATCTGGGAGAGATCAACAAACCTATTCTACACTAATTCTAAATTTTATTTTTCCTTTTGGTTTAATCAACTAAGAGAATGTTTGGCTATCATTAATTTTTAATCAAAACTGCATTCTCTGCCAGAAGTTACTTTTGCATCATTTTGTGATTATATCCTTGATTACTAACTTCTCCATAAGAATTTCTAGGAGACAAACAATAAAAAGAAACAAAAAATGAAATGAGGTTCTCGAAAAAACTTTTCATAGAGAAGTTTGTCTAAAAAAACATACCCCAAAGCTACATTTGGTATTTAACTGACCAAAAGTGATCTAAGTTGAAGAGGGGTTTATAGTTTCAATGATTCATTTTTCAAAGTGAAATCTCATATTGTGTGCAATTTCGATTTCAGATAACCTTCAGTCACATGATGATCTTAACCGCAACGAAGTGTTTGTAAGAGAAAGCATCCCTATATGGTTAGCACTGTCAGGGTACATACTGTTCTCTGCCATTTCCATCATAGCTATCCCCTTCATTTTCCCTGAGGTGAAGTGGTATTATGTGGTGGTTGCCTATCTTATAGCACCAACTCTTAGCTTCTGCAATGCTTATGGTGCTGGCTTAACTGACATGAACATGGCCTATAACTATGGGAAAGTGGCTCTCTTTGTGCTTGCTGCCTTAGGTGGGAAAAGTCACGGGGTGGTTGCCGGACTCGTGGGGTGTGGCGTGATCAAGTCTCTTGTTTCCACCTCATCTGACTTGATGCAAGATTTCAAGACTGGCCATCTCACCTTCACTTCGCCTCGATCCATGCTTCTTAGTCAAGCTATTGGCACAGCAATAGGTTGTGTTGTTGCTCCTCTAACATTCTTCCTTTTCTACAAGGCTTTTGATGTGGGAAACCCAGATGGTGAATACAAATCCCCATATGCCATCATTTATAGAAACATGGCAATTCTTGGTGTGGAAGGTCTTTCTGCCCTCCCCCACCATTGTCTGCAGCTGTGTTGTGGGTTCTTTGCATTTGCTGTGACTGCCAACTTGGTGAGAGATTGGAACCCCAAAAACATTGGGAGATGGATTCCACTTCCAATGGCAATGGCTGTACCCTTTGTAGTAGGTGGATACTTTGCAATAGACATGTGTATGGGTAGTTTAATTGTGTATGCATGGCACACACTAAAAAGCAAGGAGGCTAGTTTGATGGTACCAGCAGTTGCTTCTGGTTTGATCTGTGGAGATGGACTGTGGGTTCTCCCTTCATCTATTCTTGCTTTGTCCAAGATTCGTCCCCCAATTTGTATGAGATTCTTGCCAATCGATTAGAACTTCACTTGCAGAGGTGTGATCACATTTTTAGTCTTAGGTAGGAAGGGAATAATAAGTATGAAAATGTTAAACAAGTGTATGACAGAGTGAATAGTCAACACTTCCAATCACCTAGTGATTGATGTAAATAGCTTTGTTAGCGTTCTCAAAATCCTAGAAACTCTTGAAAGAATTGCTATAGCACTTAATTTTATGATTTTTAGCATCACTTTGTGCATTAGGTTAAAATATCAATTGAGGTATGGTAATTTTCGTTGTATTAAAATTTGTAAAATAAACTTAGATTCACCAAAGCTGGTAAATGAAAAAACATATTAAATACTTTTATTATTTATATCATAGTAAATGTGTGTGGGCAATATATGTTTCTTTCCATATATAATTTTTTGAGCTGGGTTTAATTTCTAAAAAAGTTCATCCTATTTTGGTCTTCGAGATTTATGTAGAATTTTTTCCTTTTCAAGTGTCTAATTCGTTAACTTAGTATTCATATAATTTAGGGAGTTCTAATTCAAAAAGTTTTAAATTAGCAATATACTCATAGAACTTTAGGAGATGCAGAATTACGTGATTGTTACAAGTGCTTTTCTTTCTCAAAAGATTTTAAATTTTAATTTTAGTTCCAACAAGATTTAGCTCTTTGTAAAAGTTTGACATCCTCATAAAATTTAAATTTTATTTTAATCGTTGATTAATTTTTTACCTTAATTTTAGGCAATAATAAGAAATGGTTTATTGTCCTTATTTTTTATACTAAAAAAATATAAAATGATTTTGATTTTAAAAGAGTTATGTTTAAAATTTTAATACCCAATTTTATTCTACCGAATATTATAATTTTTAAGAAGTTTTTAAGTAAAGTTCTTCATTATTTTTAGTGTAAATTATAAGAGATTGAAAATAATTGGTTATACTTATACATCCTATTAATTACTTAATAAATAATTAAAGATTATTTAAATAATTTAATGTTTGATGATAATATTACAAAGATATTTGAATTTGAATTTTATGTGATTCATTTCTTTGATTATATTATGTCTTTATATATATATATATATATATATATATATATATATATATATATATATATATATATATAGGACATAAACACAATAGGTACACACCCTTAAGTTTGGAATTCAAGTATATAATATGACAAAATTTGTATAAGGTGACTGTGTGGTCTATCAAGATAAATGAACTTTGGTAAGACTTAAAAAAAATTAGTTAATGAGCTTTGGAATTTATTGTTTGAATATATATATATATATATATATATATATATATATATATATATATATATATGGTGATCATTTTTTGTCTTTTTTTTGGAGTAGTAAGATTATCGGAGAAGTTCACGAAGAAAGAAAGAAGAAAGAAAAAAACTATAGAAAGAAAAATAGAGAATAGAAGTAAGAAAGTAAACTTTGTTAATTAAAAAGGAGAATGAATGCACTATTGTGCACACAAAGAAAACACAATACATAGAATAAAGGAAAGCAAAAAACAATGCAACAACTTAGTGACAAAATACCGAATAGGTGACATATACGTTATAACAGAGAATAAATAATTTATCATCCCCTCAAGCTGGGAATAAATATTCATCATTCCCAGCTTGGTACGTAGATTATTCAATATGGTAGGAGTCATGGGTTTAGTGAAAATATCAGCTGCTTGAAGGGTTGAAGAAACTCGAAGGAGCTTGATGATCCCTTTATTGATTTTGTTATGAACAATGTGGCAATCAATCTCCAAGTATTTCGTTCGTTCATGGAAGACCTGGTTGGAGGCAATGTGAATGACGGATTGATTGTTGCAATAGATAATGGTTGGGTTTGTGAAAAGGATACAGAGTTCGTGTAGAATGTATGCAATCCCCTGGATTTCACAAGTAGTAGAGGCAAGGACTCGATACTTAGCTTCTACAAAATTTCTGGACATTGTTTGTTGCTTTTTGGACTTCCATGAGATAAGAGAATCACCAAAGTATATGGAGAATCCAGTAATCCACTTTCTAGTATTAGGGCATGAAGCCTAGTTCGAGTCGCTATAAGCTCTCAAGTGGGGTTTTGTGTTAACTTTGAAGAGAAGACCACTGCCAAGATTACCTTTGAGGTAGCGGAGAATGTGATTTGCAGCTTGTTGGTGAGAAGTAGTAAGGCAAGAGGCAAACTAGCTAATGTGATTGATAGAGAAGGTGATATATGGTTTGGTGTTAGTGAGATAAATTAGACGACGAAAGGAGGAATCATCTTCTTCATTAAGAGGTGTGTTATCTTTTATGGAATTGGTACGAGAAGAATGTACCATAGGAGTGGGCATGGGTGCAAAATCTATCATGTTGATTTCATGTAGAAGGTCGCCATGAAGGAAAATATTGTTAAGGTCAAGTTGTTTGAGGATCCACTTGTTTGAAGCAACAACAACAAGTAATAAACGAATGGTGGTAAGCTTGGCTAAAGGGGCAAATGTGTGCAGGTAATCCAAGCCTTCCAGTTAGGTGTATCTCTTGGAAACTAGATGGGCCTTGAAGCGATCAACTGTGCCATTAAACTTGTGTTTTATTTTATATACCATCTACAACCTATAGTTGAAGGTCTGTGAAGATCCAAGTATGGTTGTTATTTAAGGCTTGTAGCTCATTATCCATAGTTTTTATCCATTGGAGAAATTTAGAAGTCTCATAGTAGTTGCGTGGCTCGATAAAAGCAAAAATGGACAGCATAGTGTGTTTAAAATTTGAGGACAAATTATCATATGAAATAAAGTTGTGTAAAGAATATCTTATTGCAATATTTGTGTGAAAGTCTTGGAGATAAGTGAGTGTTTGTCTTGTACGGGTGAACCTTCTGAGAGGGGTTTCAACAGTCTCAATGGATGAGATGGGATTAGTCTATCTAGTAGGTGTCACATCAGTTTCAATGGTCGAGGTGGTATCATCTGGTCCAACAAGAGTGTTTCCAATGAGGTTAGTAGCATCATTGTTAATATCAACATTAATAATATTCAAATCAGTATCAGTGATGTCATTATGAGTGGGTATGTGAAAAAACTATCATAATTGGTGGTGTAATTACTAGCTACGGGTAAAGAAAGACTGGTAGGATCATTATTTTTACTAGTATTATAGGGAAAATGGTTTCATAAAATTTAACATTACGTGAAACTTCTAATCTATGGTTATGAAAATTTAAATATAGGTACTCTTTTGTGTGAGTCTTAAAAATGAGAAAGACTTCATGAACAACTCTGTAGTTTACCTTTTTTCTATAAGAAATAAGAGTGTTAGAATAACATAGACATCGAAAAATACGTAGATATGACAAATCACACAAATTCCCATGTAGCTTTTCATAAGGGGTGTTATTATTCAAAAATAGGTGTAGACATACAATTAATAAGGAAAGTTGCATATTGAGCAGCAAAACACAAAAAGATAGAGAGAAGATTATATTGAAATAAAAGGGAATGAATAATATTTAAAAGATGTTCGTGCTTTTTTTCAACCACACCATTCTGTTCAGGTGTCTCTACACAGTTGGTTTGATAAATTATGTCTTTAAGAGAATCGAAATCATGTATATTGAATTTAGCTCCATCATCAGTTCTAATATTTTTTTATTTTGGTATTGAACTGGTTTTCAGTATGAGCAACAAAATCAACAATCAATTTTCGAATAACAGATTTATTTGTTAGAGGTAATAGCCATGAGAAATCATCAACTATGGTGAGAAAATATTTGTAACCACGCATAAAAAGAATATTGCAAAGCCCTCAAACATCCACACAAACAATATAAAAAAATTTTAGAACTTGAGGATACACTAGTAGGAAAAGGTAACTTTCTTTGTTTGGTCAAGTAGCATATATCACAGATATGGGAAGTGTCAACAGAAACATAAGGATATTTATTCTTTAAAAGAATTAAGCGCTTATGAAAGAAATTTCCTAGGTGAGAGTGTCATAGGCTAATTTCCTTGGGAGTATAATTTGAAGAATGCTTAATTTGAGAGTCAGATTTGTTCGTAGGAATGTTACAAACATATAAAGCAACATGCAACTTGACTAAACCAATCATCTCTTTCTTGTTGTTGTCCTGTATAAAACAACCATCAAGATAAAAGGTTAATTGATAGTTAAAAGAGAGAACTAATTTAGAGATAGATATAAGGTTAAATGTAAATTATAGCACATAAAGAACATAAGTGAGATAAACGTCAGAATTGAAAATAACTTTACCACTGTAACTGGCAGTGACATAATTTTCATTAGGCAAACTTATATGAATGGAGTTAATGCATTTGTAAGATGTAAAATATTTTAAAGATGTGATCCAAAAATTCTTATTCATGTTAAAATCATATACAAGACTGATATTACTAGTTGATGAATGAATAGCTGAAACAAATCCAATTTGATTGACTTGTGGTTGAGTGTTGTTTTGAGTGGCATGTTTTGATCTTCATTGTAGTTTTGATCTTCATTGTTGAGGGGTGAGACGAACATCAGCTACTTCATTGCAGTTTTGATCTTTTCCAACATCATTGTCTTCTTGTGTTGAAACATTTTTAACTTGAGACTGCTTGTTGTTGAAAAATTTATGGCCCGATGGATATCCGTGTTTTCTATAGCAAACCTCTATTGCGTGTCTGGTTCTTCCACAATGAGTGTAGAGCTTTCTATTGTTAGTGCCTCTTAAATTTTTGATTTCTTGGTTAGGGAAACCATTCTTGCGATAGTAGATCGTCTCGGTATGACCCAATTTTTCACAATAGGTGTAAGTTGTTAATCCTGTAACAACGTTATGATTATTATTCTTGACAGTAGCAACTAGATTACCAACAGACAATTACCTTTCTTGTTGTATAACTAGAGAAAAAAATTTTGGTAATAATTGGAATAGGTTCCATGAGCAAAATATGGGATTTGATATTGTTGTATTGGTAGTTCAAGCCCCTGAGGAATTGTATAGCTTGATTTTCTTTTCTTTGAACCATGATGTGAAGAACTTGACAGTTACATTTTTTCTTGCAGGTGCAAATAGGATCTGGGCAAAAATTATCTAACTCATCCCAGACAACTCTTAGCTTAGTGAAATAATTTGAGACACTCAAGTCACTTTGTGCCAAAGTAACAACTTCAAACTAAAGATCAGATATGCGAGCCAAGTTTTCTTGAGAGAATTTATTCTTTAATTCGTTCAAGATATCCATCACTTTGACCATCCGGATTATGTTTTGGTGTATGGATTTAGAAACCGATGGACCAACGACGAGACAACCATGTGATTGCATCTATTTCAGGGAGAGAAATTTTTTTCTTCTTTGGATGGTTGATCAGCAGTGCCAAGAACGAATTCAACCTTGTCTTTTGCGCTCAAGGTCGTGATCATTGACCTGTTTCATGAGTGGTAGTTAGATGCATCAAGAACTGTGAAACAAGAGTGACTGTTGGGTTCTCATTTGGGTGAAGATATAGAAAGCTAAGAGTAATATTTTCATCTGTCATTGAAGAAACAAAGAAGCCAAAAATGAAAACTAGAGAAAGAAGAAGATTGTCGAAGAAGTTCATGAAAGAAGTTCATGGCAACGGGGCGGGGCGGGGGCGGGTTTTGCCTCCTCGATCCCCGCCCCCGACTTTTTTAACCATCCCCGTCCCCGCTGGGTTTCGGGTTCCCGCCCGTCTCCGATCTATATTATTTTTAAAAAGATAATTACATTTATAATAAATTAATTTTATTATATATTTTTTATTTAAAAATAAATATTTATAATTTTATAATTATTATTAATTAAATATACATTTTAATTTATTATATTTATATTAAAATATGTATGTAAAAAAATATTTAATTATCTATATATAGAGAGAGAATATTTATAACATTATTATTATTATTATACTATTCAAATATTTGAATACTTATAAATTTTTATTATAATATTGTATTCAAACATTTAATTATATATATAAGTTAATTCATTTTTAAGTTTTCATTTAAAAATATGAAATATATAGTTTATAAGGAAATCTTTAATAAGTTAATTCTTATTTAATTAGTTCGAAGTAATAAAAGTTTAAATTATAAATTTCTTTTAATCCTTTAAAATACAATTATTTTATTAAGATAAAATTTGATATATGATAAATAAGAATAATAAGATAAAAAAATATGATATAATAAAACCTAATAAATATAAATTATAAATAAAATAATATTAGTTATTACTAGGATTTATGTAAAATATTTAGAAAATGATAAAGAAGAAAAAAATTACTTTGTGTTCATCAAATTGATTGAAAAGATTAAAAAATAAATAAATTGATGGGAGAAATTAAAGAAATGTAAAAAATAGAATGGTAAGAGAGAGATTAATGTAATAAATTAATTGATATAAAAGATTAAAAAAGACAAAAAAATTAAAAGTGGGTAGAAGAAAAATAAAAATTGATGAAATATTAAAAAAATAACATTATATGTAATAGAAAAAGAAAAGAAAATACATTTAAAGTATTTATATTTTAAATTTTAAATTTAAATATAAGTCTGGGCGGGGACTGGGTCGTGGTCGTGGTCGGGATGGGGATTGCATTATCCATCCCCGCCCCGACTTTTTAAAGCGGAGAAAACCTGAACCCACCACCGTCCCCGGTCAACTCGGGTTTTCCCCGTCAAACTCGGGGTGGGGATGGGTCGGTCCCCACGGGTACGGCTTAATTGTCATACCAAGAATGAAAAAAAAAAAGAAAAAACAAGAAAAAGAAAAACATATAATAGAACGAGAAAGTAAACTTTATTAATTGAGAAAAAAAATGAATACACTGTTATGCACAAAGAGAAAACACAATATATAGAGTAAAGAAAAAGCAAGAAACAGCATAATAACTTAAAGCAAATTTAAGAATGATGTCTTTTATTTAGTAATAAAATAATTTATGTTAAAATATATCATAGTTTTATTTAAAATTTATTTTTCGAGCTTTTTTATGCAAAATTATCTATTAAATTGTTATAATTAATTTTATTTAACATTTCTTTTTCAATAGATAATAAAGCCAATCCATTTAATCTTTGTTGAGACATGGTTGATCTTAAATAAATTTTTATTATTTTTAATTTTAAAAAACTCCTTTTAACTGAAGCAACTCGATACTTGGAATTGTTAACATTAATCTATAAGCTATATATGAATTTAGAAAAAAATTATTTTTTTATATAATTAAGAATGTCAATTAGTTTATCCTTTGGACATTTAATTATATAATTTATTCTTTGAATATAATTTGATGAAGAAAAGTGTCTAGAATATTTATCCTTTGGAAAATCTATATCGAGTAATTTTAATAGGACCATTTTCTACTAATAAATCTCTCAAATTTGTATCAATAGTCTTCCATTGGCTTGGATCATATATATTTTCATCAATAGTAGAATTATCATCTAGTATCTCAATCTTCTCTCGTTATCATGGATTTGAAAATTAGAATTATCCTCATTACTAAATACTCTTTCTCTATTGTTTCTTTCACCTATGTTTATATTGTTATTATCTTGTTCATTCAAAGAGCATCCACCTATATTTTATAATTCATTTTTCTTATCTATTTTTATAAATTTATCCATAGCTCCTTTTTGTGATGAAATTAAAGTCTCGACTTTTTTCTTCTTTTAGAGTTTTGAATAACCTCGATTCATATTTTCTAGTTAACATATCTATATATTTTTATATGAAATAAAAAATTATAATATATAAAACACTACTAAAGATAAGTATATAAAAAAGAATAAGTCGAAACAATAAAACTTGGTTTTTGTTGAGTTGTCAAGAAAATAAACGGTAAATAAAACTGTAAAGGCGCAAACGATAGATAGTAAATTGTATCCTAATATACAACAAGTTTTAAATTTTAGATTTTTACCTAATATGACGCATTGCAAAGAAAAAAATGTCAAATAGCTTCTTGCTTGAGTTGCGTTGCCTCCTTCTATCCCTTGAGATCAATGAAATCGAAACACACACAAGCAGAACACCAACAACCAACACAAATACACAACATATAAAAGATGACTCAGATGATAAATTGAAAATATTGAGTCATTAACTAATATATTATGTGTATGTATTAAACACTCAAATTATGTAGTATGAAAAGTAAAGAGAATGAATAGATGAAAACTAAAAGGTCACATAGAGAGAAGAGAAGATAAAAATTAAAACTAATTAGTAAAAGAATAAAGATAAAAAAGAAAAACTTTTGGACTTCTTTAACTATTAATATTAATTAACCAATTTTTTTCTTAAAAAAATTATGATTTATTAAAAAGAATGGTTAAAAATAATATTAGTATTAAAAAAAAATTGGGAGACCTTTTTTTTTTAGGGGACCTAAAGCAAAGACTTTAGCTGATTAGACCTTGAGTCGGACGTGTTGTAATAAATAATAAATAATTTATCATGAAGGATGACCAGGTTTTGATAAACTTGAAAGAAAAATTTGATTGAGCATACATTATAATGCAAATGGTTGTCACTAGTTATTTGTTGAGAATGATCACGTTTTGATTAGTTTGAAAGAAAGATTTGGTTAGTGAGCTTTCGAGAAGAGATAAATTGTTAATTTCGGTGTTTTATATTTGAGATCTTGGTTTGAGAGTTGAATATGGGTAGATATTAGGTTGTTTCAAAAAATTGAGCTTGAATCTTTGTAATATACTTGAGATCTTGATTTTAGTGTTGAACATGACAGTGATCACGTAATAATCCTTTGAATGACATCATTAGATAGGACCATAAGATCAACACCTGTTGCCAAACACTTTATCAGTACTATCATGAAGTATAGTCATGCTGTCACATAATTTGAATTGTTATTCATTGAATGGAGTGATATACAACAAAGTACAAGTTCTAAAATTAATTCAACTTCAAATGAAAAATTTGATGTTATGCACTATTAGACTTCTTTCTCTGAACAGCATCGCGGATGAGATTGAGCGAGTGTTCTAAATCATCACAAAGAAGGTAAGGATCCGGAATAACAAGTGGGTCCACTGCTACAGAAATGGTCATCTTTTTAGCATGACTTTGGAAATGGATTGTCAATGCCTGCAACAGAAATCAAAAAGGCTGTGCATTACTTTCATAAATTTTTCCACCATCAAGTCCTCCATGGTTGTTAGCAAGTTAAATCATTCATGGTGGTACTAGTAATCGTGTGAATGATTCAACTTACATGAGGGTGTCCATATACAGTAGGAGCAATGTATGCCACGGGTTGACCGAAGAAGCTTATTTCTTCCACGGGACCAGGCACATTAGAGAAGGTTAAGGTAGTGTTAGAGAGAACTGTTTGTGTTAGGGTAGCAGCAGCCTACAAGAAAGTCCAAAATGTAGAATAGTTTACACAAGATGAAAAATACTTCAAGTAATATCCATCACTTCATCAATGTAATCTTTTTCTTCAGTCATAAAAAGGTATAATAATGTTACCTTGACACCTAATAAATTGAGTATTGCCTTTGCACAAACGTTGGACAAAATTGCTTCCAATGAGTGCTTCTTCCTGTCGATTGTGTTCTTGGCTTGACGAACATATTCCAATGGATCTTCACACAAAGCAATAGAGAATGGGAGGATGATGTATCCTATCCAATTACCCCATTTTACTTTTGATTTCTCTGCCATCATATCTGCTAGATCCTAATTATCCCAATAATAGTTAGGACTTACTAATAGATGGAGATAGAGTTCAAATCTCAAAATGGTCTCCAAATGATCTAATTCGACAAACACTCACCTGTATTCCACCACCCGGTCTAATGTTAACCATAAGTGATGCCCTAAGGCGAATCTTCTTATGGACACTTGATCTCTCTTTGGCACCATTGATATTTGAGTTCACATCTGCTTGGAGATCGAGTGCCAGAAACAATTTATTCATGTTATTTGTTTTGCAAGGATACAAGTTTCAAAATTGCAAGAAATATAGAACCTTACCATATGCTCGATTCAAATAGCGAGTGAGCGCGGCTTGTGTTACCCCCAACATAACATCATTGATGGTCTAATTATCAACATTTGACAAACAAAAATAACAATCAAGACACAACTCATTGTCTTTTAATCAAGGAGACTTGTGCATGGTTACAATATTTTTACAAGCAATACGTAATAAAAGAACATAACTGAGGACTTACAATAATATATTATGTTCTCAAGTCCATTACAAAGTCACAATGAGCTTGATACATCAAAATAATGATAAAATTAGCTTAAATAATATCTTGGTAAAAAAGTCTTAATATATTATCACTCTTACAAAAAAAACTTTTATAAAAATACAATTTATTATAAAAAAAAAAACTATTGCACATTTAATTAGTGAATTATATTATTTCCCAAATTTTAATCTTAATTTTTTTCTTGCGCATTTTACCATCACAGTTTTTAAATTTTACTTATTCTTTCTCTATTTCTTTTTAAGTAATGTTTAAGGTTTGGTAAATCAAGAAATGTAATAAATTGTTTTAACTTTAATAAAATATTTGTAAGATATTATATTTTACCTCTTACATTTTTATATCACTTGAACATTAAAAATAAAAATTTCAAAAATCCGACCGTGAAATAGAAATCATTTTGTTAACTGCGTAAGCGTAACCCAAACCAACATAATCCTTAAAAACGAATCTGTTTTCAATATCGATATTAATTTGTTATTAATGCACGAGATGTAAAAGTTTAAAAATAAAAACTTGATGATAATAAATTGGATGATAAAATATGTAGGAATTATAAACTTAATGGTAAAATAAGTGAAGAAAACAAAATAATGAAAAAATAAAGTCTTCCGTAAAGATTGTTTCAATCCAAGTAAAGCATTGAGACATAAGAATGTTGCGATGAATTTCTTCTGAAAATTTTGAAAGAAACAAAACCTAAAAGAGGGAAGAGAAAATAAATTACCGTTTTCATTTCATTCTTGATTAGTTTGATATCATCCATACTAACAGTGCGATGCACAAAGCGCTTGTTATTTGATCCAACCCCAGGAGGACCCTTGAGAGGAGTTGGGGTGTCTCTGATGAAGAAAATGGTGAGAATAAAGAGCAGGACATCGAGGAGAGTGTGGCAGATGAGAAGTAGCCCCCACCAAATAGCGAAGAGCCATGAGAATGGAGTGGAGCGATGGCGTGAGGAGTGTTTGTTTTGGGTTGGCACAGTTGGCAGTGCAAGAGGGTCAGAGGTTTTGCGAGTGGCGGCAAGGAGGAGTGATATGAGAGAGGCACCATCGCCAAGGGAATGATGGATCCGAAATATGGCAACAGCTTCTGCATCTGAGGTTTTGATGTTGAGGATGTGCAGTTCCCAGAGTGGCTTGGACATGTCAAGTGGAGTTTTGATGAAATGGGAGATGTAGTCTTCAACGAATCTATCTGCCTGTTCTACGTTGGAATTGGAATCTATTTCTGGAACTATGACGTGCTTGTCTAAGTCAACTGTTGTTGGAATCCACTTTCTTTTCCTTCCCTCTTTAACCTGCACATCCACGATATATATATTATAATAGATGATAAACCTTAATTATCCCAAAAACAATAGAATATACAACGAAAAAGAAAAATATATAACATTACATTTTATAATAAGTTAGTAATAACAGAATTATGTATTTAAACTAAAATAGGTTATAAATAGAAAATTCAAGATATCTCATTACTGAGCTAGTTAATTTCTTGAAATGAATTTTGTAAAACACTATTTTCCTTTTTAGAAAAGCATACACAACTTCTGAATTATGAATGAAAGTTTTGAACAAAATGATAAAAGGGTAGAGTGATAAATGATTACTAACCAGCTTGCTGATGAATCTTGGATGCTTGAGCAAAGTTTGACCTAAACCTTCTCTAATGACTTGAGGATTGACTCTTGTCTTAAAACCCACTGCAGCAATGACATAACAGTTGATAGATGGTTCATGGAACATCTTCGCTGTAGGACTCAAGAGTTCACCCTTGTTCCATGTCATATTTTCTTTCTCCAACATATTGATTGTATCCACTGATATTTTCAGGATGGAAGAGTGTTTGTTGTGTTGTGTTGTCACAATTTAAAGAGCATTGATATTGCCAAGGTGGTTCAAAGATGTATCAAAATACCAGAATTAGCAGATTGGGCAGAGAATTGGGCACATTGAATGAATTTAAAGGTTTTCTAATACTTCAAATGTTAGATACAATTAGGCATGCTTTAATTTTCCATGTGGCTGTCACAGCCATGTCTGTCTATCTGTGTGTGGAAAAGAAAGCTAATTTGAAACCAGCCATATACATAAAGATGGAGTTTCAAAGATGCAGCAGGTTTTGGTTGTAATTGGACAAAGGAGAAGGTTGGGGGAAGAAATTAATGGTCAGAAAGGAGAGGGTTTTCCATTAAATTAATTCACCTGCCGTCACACTTCTCAGACCAGGAAAAAACAATCACGAAGATGGGAGAGGGAGAAAATGGAGAAGAAAACGATAGAAAATAAAAAAGGTAGAAATAAGAAAATAAATAAAAATATGAAGACTTTTCTAAATATTATCAGAGTCAAAGTAATTTATTCATTTTATATTATTCTTTTTTAGTAGTTTAATTATGAAGATGTTACAGGTGAGTTGAACCATATTCGTATGGAGAATCAATTTGTTCGGGGAGTATGTGTTGGATTTTTAATTTGATTCAACTCGTCTGGAACATCTCTAGAATTAGATTAATAAAAAATAATAATATAAAATAAATAAATTGCTTTAAATTAAATAATATCATTATTTAGTAATTTGTCTAATAAAATATTTTATTATTATTTAAAATATTTTGTCATTTACCCTTAAAAATAATTTTGAAAATGAATAATTTTATAACTTGGTTTATTTTACTTTAAAGAAATACTTCTTAGCTTTATTTATTTTTTAAAAGTAAATATAAAAGAATATGCTTTCTAAAAAATATTATGCATAAATCATAATATTAATACATAAAAAATATATATATGAAAATGTTATGCTTTCAAAAACATATATATATATATATATATATATATATATATATATATATAAATATGAATAGTTATTTACCAAATTAAAAAAATCAAATAAAATTATATAAAAATACTTAGTTATATATAATAGAAAATTCTTTTTTGTGTTTATATTTTGAAAAAAAAAACGTGTTTTAGTTATTTGTGCAAACTTTTGTTATCTGAACGTTATCAAATAATTTTCTTACAAGAAAAACCAAACATGTGATTGTACATTTGATAATAAATGTAAAAAAAATTATGTATTTAATATTTATAATATGATATTTTATTCTTTTGATCTATACCATTAAAAGACTAATGAAATATTATGTTATTGAGACTCGTGACACTACATATTCTAATGACATAACATTTTGTTTATTATGACAATTTCTTTATTAAAGATACTAATGGCAAAGATAAAAAAATTAGTTATAATAGTGCAAAGAGAATATATATATATATATATATATATATATATATATATATATATATATATATATATATATAAGTTATAATAGTAAAAAGACAATATATATAGATCACAAAATAACAAAATACATATTATATATATTAGAATATAAAAGTGATTTAAATTTTCACATATTTTAATAGATGAATGAGGGTTTTTTTTTTAAATTTGGTAACTTATAAAATTAGAGCTTAATATCAAGAAGTAGTAATGTTAATGTTCTTTACCATTTTTGGAGCATACAAATAAGATTCAAGATAAAACTGATGTGGAAAAAAATAGAGAATGGGGAAATTTTCATAAATTATAGTAGTTCATTATCATATTAAAGTTATATTTAATTATTTATTCACCCAAATAAAATGAATTTAACTTACGCTCAAATTTTTACAATAATTATGAAAAAAAAAATAAGAAAAATTACACTAAAATTTTAATTCCTATAAAGATAAAAATTACATTTGCATCTACGAGACCTGATCCGGTCTATCCTAAATTTGTTAATGAGTATCTGACTAAATCGAGTGTTAATTTATATTTTTCATTTTAAAAAACTAGGGATGAGTGAAGATGGATAATATAATTTTTTTTTTTGGTCTTCCTTGATTTTATATTTAAATCTAAATTTTAATTTATTAATTTTTAAAGTATTTTTTTATATTATATATAAAATATTTTTTTCTATATTTGATACTCTTTATTTTTCTCTAACTTACTTCTTCTTCTTTTTTTTCTTTTTCAACCTCCTAATTGAAATATTACTTTTCTCTTCATATTTGTTCTTTCATATTTTCTTAATTTTTTTAATCAATTTAACAAATATAAAGTTAATTTTTTCACTACAAGAAAAAACACATTTAGCCACCGAAATTAGCGATCGAATTTTTTCGGTCGCAATTAGCTAACCGATTTAATTTTGGTCGCAATTAGCTGACTCGATTTAGCGACCACTTTAATTCGGTCGCAATTAGCGACCGATTCAGCGACTACTTTAATTCGGTTGCAATTAGCTGACCGATTTAGCGACCAAAATATGATTTATTTTAAACTTTTTTATTTAGCGACCGAAATAACGACCAATATTTTGCGTCGCAAAATTTCGATCGCTAAATCGGTGGCTATTTTCATACTAAAATAAAAAAATCATTTAGCGACTGATTTAGCGATCGAATTACAAATTGAAATAGTGACCGAATTAAAATCGGTCGCTAATGAGAAAATAGCTGACCGAATTGAAATCGATCGCTAATGAATATTATTTTTTTATTATATTTAAATTTTTTTATAAATATACTTTAGTTGTTTTAGTATATTTTTTTAAAAGTAATTTATTTTTTAAAAATATTTTAATTTTTAAAATATACTTTAAAAATAAACTTTGGTCTCAATATTAACAAAATGAATTGTAATAAATCAAATTTATTAAAAATTTAAATTGTAATAAATTAAGACTAGAGTGATGTTAACTATTCAATACATTGTTTAAGAAAAGTTTAATAACAAATATTCTTGAATTTATTTTTCAATTGAAAATTTCAATTGAAATTAAATTATATTTTAAAAATTTATATTAAAAAATTGAAGAAAATAGAGATTTAATTATACTTTTAATAAATTTAACATAATAATAGTTTTGATTTTTATTTTTAAATATTTATTTTAATTTTTTAAAACAGAGAAACTATAATTTTAGTTTCTAAATACTAAATTTAAAGAATTAAATTTATTATTATTTAATCTTTTAATTTTAGTATTAAAAATTTAAATGATATTTTATTAAATTAAAATAATATTACAATATATTTTTCTACTTTGAGAATGAAAAATATAATTAAACTAAAACTGAAAATATTATAATACATTTTTGAACTCTTTTTGATTAATTTTTTTCCTAATTTTTTATAAAGTCAATTTTAATATTTAAAAGTATTTAACATTTTGCTTTCTGAAATGTTTTACGTATTACCAAATTCCAGTTCTTAATAACCTCTACAACCAAATTCCAGTATGCAGAGAAACCAGTGCCCAAATTCCAGGCACCAAACAATACAAAAAGAATGTAAAGAAATGAAAAAGAAAAAACTAGAATGCTCAAACCAGGTTTATGCAATTCTCATTGTAAGTGTTTCTTCTTCAAAAGAAATCAAGTTGCCTCAAGAAAGATTTTCAAAGAACTTCTCAAAAGCTGATGCGAATCTTTCTTGAAAAGAGTCTTGAAGTTTGCTTGATTGATTGCTCGAGGATGTGTAAAAGATGATATTCAATGTATGTTAAAAAAGTTCAAGCCAAACTGTTTTTATAGAAGATTTTCAAAACTACTTGGTTTAATTAATCTGTTAAAAGATTCTTTTAATCTGTTAAAAGTGCAGTTTTAATCTGTTAAAACTTCTTTTAATCCATTAATACGTTCTTGATTCTTTAACAGATTTGTTTTAAGCGATACGACAACGTTTATATCAATTAAAACACTTTACAAAAAATCTTCTAAGTTGATTTAATCGATTGTTTCAGCGATTTAATCGATTGAAATACTTGCAAAACTTTCTTGTAAAACTTTTCAAGTTATTTTAAGCTGATAAAAATAAGTTTTAATCGATTAAAACGTCTGTGTAGAAATTTTTAAGTTGTTTTAATCGATTGAAACGAGATTTAATCGATTAAAAGAGTTCTGATCGGTCATAACTAAATTCTGATCGATCATAACTGATTCTGATCGGTCATAATTGCATTCTGATCGATCATAATTGCATTCTGATCGATCATCCTGAACCCTTAAGTGGTTTTAATCGATTAAAATCAAGTTGTATCGATTAAAATATTGTAAAAACATTTCACTTGACATTTTAAGTAATTTTAATCGGTTCTATCAAAGTCTGTATCGGTTAAAAACTTGTTTGAGAAAGCTTTTGTCAAAATACTTTGTTTTTAATTGTTAAAAACATTTTTAGAGGCATTTTGCAAAATATTTTAAGTGAAGAAACCTCATGCAACGAAATCTTTTAATTTTAGTATTAAAAATTTAAATTATATTTTATTAAATTAAAATAATTACAATATATTTTTCTACTTTGAGAATGAACAATATAATTAAACTCAAAATTGACAATATTATAATACATTTTTGAACTCTTTTGGATTAATTTTTTTTCCTAATTTTTGATAAAGTTAATTTTAATATTTAAAACTATTTAACATTTTGAATTCTGAAAGGTTTTCTCTAATAGCAAATTTAAAAACATAATATTCAAAAAAATAGTTAATGTAAGTTTTCATTATGATCAATTATAATTAGAAATGATAGATCATAATTGAGAAGATATGATAGCGGTTCCACGTTAACCGCTATCTAAACTATAATTTAGATAGCGGTTAAGGGTTAACCGCTATTATAAGTGCGCTTTTAAGAGCGGTTCCTGTGGAACCGCCATCTAAAATGTATTTCGCTTGAGCGACAATGGTCTCGCTCGAGCGAAACGCCCCCTGCACAAAATTGGCATTCTCGGGTTGTATTTCG